CAGACATTGGAAGAGAAGTGTGAAGTAGAAGACTCTGCTGTATCAATACTGGTAATAGCCAAGTCATGTGTGTAAATTAAACTGGTTGAAGACAGGTTATGAAAGGAAAAAGATTTAATAACAGGAAACAAAATAACAAAAATGGAAAATTATGTAAGATTCTGGATTAATAAATTATTTTTAAACAGAGAAAGCACTTGGAGAGAACAATCAGTTGTGCCATCTTTTCTCATTGGTTCTTAAAATTTAAATTGAGGTTCAAAAAAATGATGCTTGATAATTTCTCCAAAAACTAGATAATTTTGGGTGGACACACAAAAGCAACTTACGTTTAGTTGAATTAAACTGAGAAACTTGCTTGCCTTCATGTTCAGTCCAAGGAGAAGGAACTATCAGTCTTTTTGTAAAAAACTAGAGTAGAATAGAAAGAAACCATCTAAGCATTTTTAAAAATTGGAGACTCTCAACTTAAATTTAGATTAGTACCCTGAACAAGAAAAATTTAAGTCATACCTTTTGCTACTCACAGATCTATATTTTAAGAATTTTTACCCTTCCTTCCCCCAAACCTATGAAAATAGTTATCCCTTATACCCAAAACATATTTCATTATTTCAGGCCCAGAGAGGCTAAAAAACCAATCTGATTTGAAGAAGACCCCTGAGTTCTTTGTGACATGTACCACCTCAGATCTTTCAAGTCTGCAGAGTGAAAATTGTACAAAAGTTTCATTTAACACTACTCATTTAAAAATTTGAATTGTCTCTACCATACTTATTGCACAGTAGTTCAACGTAATTCTTTTCAAATTTTCAGTTTGTTAAATTGTTGTATTTTAACAATTGAGCTATTTCGCAGAAGTGCTAGAGACACTGCAGTAATAGTAAAAGTGGACAACCAAGGCTTTTTGGTTAGCAGTGAAACATTTATGAGTATTGGCACTTCAGGCTTTTTCTTTGAACCAGAAACTGTACCTGCTGTCACAGTTGCACTCTAGAACACCCTGATGCTGAGATGAACGCTATTGCACAGCTTCAAGAAATACATGGCAAATCCTGTTCTTACAATAAAAGCAAGACTCAAAGCAAATGAAAAAAAAAAACTCAGCTTAAAACACCCAACTATTAAAGACACAATTTTTATCAAAGACATGGTTTCAAGCTGTTCAGCTGCATAATCCATTATCTTATGCCTCACAAAGAAGAAGATCCTTTTTAATGCAGATTTAGAACAACAGTGTTCCTTAGCTGCAGGTCAACTACATCACACCTTTATGGAACCATAAAACATATTTTTTTGTTTATAGGTACAGAAACTGGTAACGGCATGATACAATATAAAAAGGTCAATAACACTAAGAGAAGACTTGCCTTTCAATTGAAATTGAAATAATATTGAAGATTTCTATAGTGAAGATTTGAAACACTTTACTCTTCCTTCTCTGCTAGACAAATGGATAGTAAAAAATAAAATGAAAAATGGATGTAAAGAATGACAAGCTACCAGAAGAAAGTCTTGCCTCCAACTAAGCAGACTTTGGAAGAAACAAAAAATCACCAAGGTTCTGCTTATTTTTAAAAAGGCAATAAAAGAAACTAAGCTACCTAACACAATTACTGTAAAACCCAAAATACTCAATCATTATTTTTAACCTTAAATTAACTATTTATAAGAGCTATCGTACAGCTACATTCCCACTAGCCAAGCAACATGAAAGAAATAAGATCTGCTGGTTTGACCTACAGGTATGTGAAAGAAGGTGGGAAGAAAAAGACCATGTGGATTCCAACTGCAACCACAAGGGATGAGGACACAAATAGACGTGGATTTTTTTGTAGCTATGTAGCTAAAACAAATCAATATTTGATAGCATAGAAAGTTTTATTACCTCCTCAATGGCTTTTTGCCTTCTGTCTTCTGTTTCCTTGTCAATTCTAAGTAACAAATGAAAAACAACTCAATTATCAAAGCCATCACATAATTGGAAAAAAACAGTGAAGTCCATCCATGTAATCTTTTACAGATGCTTAAAAGAAACATTATAAACGAAATTGCATTAAACCCTAAATCTTATGATGTTTTTACTGTTATGTGCAATAATTTTATAGTATAAATTTAGAAATATAAATGCATTTTTCAGTTACTTCAGTTCATTTGAAAAAGATCTGTGCCATTTATAAGTACGTATTTGCAAATCTTCTATTTACTCCTTATATCAGCAAGTATTTTTATCTGGACAAAAACTCAATCATACCTGATCTTCCAAAATAATCCATTTAGTTACGTTGAACTTGTCATATGAATAGATTTTATTATTAAAGTGGCCATGAGATTAGGCTTACAAAGAATCTCACTACAAAATCAAGCAGAATAAAAAACTGAGCTGTAAGGAACAAAAGGGTAACAGAAGATACTTGAATGTCTGTATACTCAAATTCCTGACACAGCCCACTTTCCCAGCACAGAGTTCCCCCTTTCAAATAGCTAGTCTGCCATATTTTCTTCAGTTCAGGATACAATATCGTATTTCAGTTTGAATCAATTAACACATTCCCTTATGCAGCTTTTAACCTAGTTTTTAAAAAAAATATTGTAGTTACTTCAGCCATCTTCAACTGATGTGTGAGATTCTACATTTATACTTCCTTTAACGGTCACTTTCAAGTCTCACTTTCAGTTACTGCTACATAATTTATAAGCTTAAAAAAGATTTACAATGAATATTTATCATCATCTTAGTTGAATCACATAACACTTTCATACACAGTTAGTATACCTGAATTACCCTTCAATAATTTTAGAAATCAGTCAGATAACAGACATTATTAGCTACACAAATACATGTAGATGTTCCTAATACATACATAAATCCCTCACAGCCCTCTTTATTTGATACTAATCAGACTTTGAATAGATCTGCAATACTTGGACATGCCATCTTCAACTATGTCTGCCTAGATGATGCTGAAGTGACAGTTCTATTTACAAGCCCGATTTCAAAGGAGAAACAGGGGAACTAGGAAAACGGCTCCCACTAAAAGTGCAGAAGAGTTTTTTTCTTTAGTGCATAACTCAGGAAAATAACAAAGTGAAAACGTCATATGTATTCAACTAGAATAAAAACAAGCCAGTCTTATATGCAACTTCAAGCAACAGAGCACTTGCAACTGTGACACACAGTATGCAAGATGCAGTACAGATTTTTTTAATACTTAACATCTAATAGCACAGCACACAATTTAGAAACATTCAATTTCTACCAGTAGGAATAAAAACGGAAGAGAAAAGTTTGTGGACAAGACTGTGTCACTATTTTTCACTAACACAGTCTGCCAGAAAAAAAGTTCTCCTAATCATTTTATAAGCAGCGCAATAAACGCACAGCACATAGATGATGCCCAGTTTATGGAAACAGTAATACTGCACAAAACCAAATCTACACGTGATACACACAGACTTTGCAAAGTGCTCATGAGCTCTTACACTGTGCTGCTACCCAGACTGTTTTCACTACATAATGAAGAATTAACAGTTTGAAATATTTATACACCAAATTCATTATGCTTGTGGTTCTTTGCAACTAATTGAGAAAATGACTTGTTAACAAGCATTATTAAAATGGAGTATATAGTTTGTGTAACATTATGCATGGACTTCAAAAACTCAATTCTTTTATCAGGAACTTTTAATGTCAAGAGCTGTATTTATGACACTTTAGTTTCCATAAAGCAGTTTTTATGAAATGTAAATTAAAATCAGTTGCCATACAAAATCTTACACACACGCACATATATATAAACATACACATATATGCATTTAACATTTAACCATGTACAGTTTGCAGCCACCAGAAATAACCACCTCAGTCTGTACTACACTGAAACATGCACGCATGGACACAGCAAAGCTACACACAGACAAACTAGTCTCTTTCTAGTCATATCAGATGATTTAAAAAAAAAATCATAGTGGGTATGAAACAGTGGAACAGACTGAAGACACCCACTGAGACAAAGCATCTTTCTATCTATAGGCCATGCCACTAATCACCATTAGAATTGTCACCCCAGCCATCTAAATTAAAGCTAGTTGGCATGCGTCCTAATAGGCTTCCAGAAACAATGTAATCAACTCCCTAAAAATGTAAGGCTTAAGGCTTTGTAACATATAAAAACTATTAGAGTCTGAAAAATACTGACTGCTAGAGGAAGGCCAGGAAACAAACAGATGTTAAGAAAAATATCGACAGTAAGACATGGTGATTCACAGATACAGCTGAGAACAGTTATATTCTTTCTACATCTCTACTGTAGCAAGAAATCCATATTCCTTCTTATACCTCTTCCTGTTCAAAAAGAGAGATGTAGGTTTAGTCAGACACTAAGAACAATAGGTCTAATTCACAGTGTTCTTTACTATGAGGGTGGTGAAACACTGAACCAGGTTGCCTAGAGAGGTGGTAGATGCCCCATCCCTGAAAACATTCAAGGTCAGGTTGGACGGGGCTCTGAGCAACCTGATCTAGTTGAAGATGTCCCTGCTCATTGCAGGGGGCTTGGACCAGATGACCTCTAAACATCCCTTCCACCCCAAACTATTCTATCATTCTATGACTATTCAGAGGACTCTAGCCCTAAACAGCCCTCCGTCTGTGTTTTATTTCACTAACAGGACTTGAAAGTCCTATAGGCATAAACAGGATGAAGGACTGTTTTATTATTCTATTACTGCTGTGCTTCATGCCATGACATGTAATTCTTCATGCAAGTTCGTATCTGAGAAATGTATGGGAGTGTCTACAGGATTCACCATTGTGGCCTTCCCTTGACTACTTTCACTAGGCATGTTGTTCTGTACCATTAGTGTGTAAGACTATCCCTCAAGATGAGCTGTGAATACTAAGCCTGTTTTACTTACTCATTTGTTTTCCCCATGGAAGTTATTTTCAGAGAAAGGAAAAAGTTGAGATCAAGATCCCCAAATTATTTCAAGTAACAAGCAATCTCCTTCTCCTCAAAGCTGGCAAGCTTATTGGTCCTCCCTCCTTCACATTAAGTCCAATCTATATGTTTCAAAAAGGGTACTGGCTTACCTAACTAGCCTTCCCAGCTCTACCCTTCTGTAGGAGTCCCAAAGACCAAAGAAGCCTACACTTCATAGGTCTCAGTATGGAACACTCTCAGAAGATAAATTGTGTTGTGACAAGGAGCAGGAGAGGTAGCTCGGTAACAATCACTGGCAAGACATTTTCTTGCTTCCGTTGACTGCTTTTATCTGGCTGTCTTCCAAACTGCAATCAGAATGGATCAGCAGTTCTTAACATTAAAAAAGAGCGACACAGAGGAGCCTCATCTAAATATTATATCCACATCAGGGACACATAAAAATCTATGTTAGAAGATTTGAATAAAAAGTCTTTAATGCTGTGTTGAAATGTCAATAAAGCAAAAGAACAGTGTTCTAAGCTAAGTTAACTGTATAAAAACAGATGGTAAGTTACCTAGCATGACTCAAATACATTGCTTGGCGTCGAACATCTTCCGAGTCAATTTCCACAGGATTTATTAGAGCAAGCTGATCAATAGACCATCTAAATTTTCCTGGTGTCTAAAAAAAGAAATGGACATCTTAATGCTTGCTAGTCTAAAAAGATAAAAATAAAACCACAGGACAAATCTCAATGGAACAACGCAATCATAACTTCCATATAGTTTCTGTCAAAGACAATCAAAAGAGTTTCTATTTAAATGATCTACTTTAAAAAAAAATGAGTAAGTCAATCAGGCTTCTTTATCCTGGTAGTTGTATTACAATGATTTACAAAATAATATAAAGTGGAAGGTTATAGCTAATATTTACAAACTGAGGTGTCAATTTTTTCTCTATTTCTGAGGACAGATCTACTAAAGATACAGAACTTGGGATAAAATTTAGTTACTTCTAGATTGCCACAATCAAAATTGCAGTTCCATGAAAACCCAGTGTCCGTACCTAACCCAAGTTATCCAAATAATAGAGCAGCCTTCCTTTCACCTCACATTTCCAAGAACACTTCAGAGTTACAACCCCATATGCATCCTGCAAAGTCTCCCTCATAATGCCATACATAGTGCACAACAAAACCCAATTCGGAAATAAAGCAGCTTCACCCCTTTATTTAACACTTAATTACAAAATGCTGTTCAAATGTTTGAAAAATGATCTACCAAGCAAGTCTTTTTAGTTTCATTAGCACAGCATCATCTCTACTGCTTATCAAAAAATAATTCCAACTGCAAACCAGAATGTAATTTGCAACTAAAAAATGTTATATATACACAATATCATTAACTCGATTCTGTGAATATGCAAAGAGCTCATAATAGAAGTGCAATTAAGTTTTACTTGTATCCAGCCTGTTTAGCAAGTAAGTAGGAACTGGGTTTTTTCCACTTTAAGTGGGACAAGAACACCACATCCAACAACTGTTCTTTTATCTACTTTCAGCTGGTTTTAGCACTTAGCAGGTATATGCTAATCTACTGACACATCTAATATCTAAAGAAAAAAAAAAAACCAGGAAAGTAGGAAGACTAAGTGACAATGTTAGTATGAAAAGCAACATGCGCCTGTAATCAGAAGAAACACCAAATGCCACCAAAATTCTTTGGCTTAGTATATACATTAAAGTACACTAAATAAAACAGTTTTTAATGCATTTCAAAATATTAGCACTACCTCTGTATAGTTACACAACTAAAGACTAGATCTTACAGATGAGGATTTTGTTGATTTAAAGACTGAAGGACTGGAGACAATCTGCTCCTGAAGAGTATAATAATCACTGGGACTTTCAAAAGGATTCAGGACTGTGACTCGTCCTGGAGTTTCTGGTGTTATCTGCATTTTAGCTTCTTTTGTATCACCCATAACACTAAGCTATACCTGGAAAAGAGAGAGAGAGAGAGGGGAAAAATGAAGAGGGGGAAAAAAAAGGAAATTATAATTTTTACTTTTTAGGGTCATTCTGAAGGTTTTGGGAAGAGACGATCAATCATTTTTAAGGAGCCAGAAACATTTAAAGGACTAACAAAAACGAAGTTAGCTTTGGCTTGGACCTACTGACATGTGAAGCTGATACGAAGAGCAACTAAAAATAAACAGAACCTATGAAAACAAGACAAGAAAGGACACTGAAAAGGCGATTTAAAAAAAAAAAAAAGACAACCACCACCAACAAAAAAAAGCCACCAGAAGAAAGAAAACGACGATGAAGCCAAATATATTCCCGGGGGGCAGCCCACGTACCAAACGCTGGCACTCAAGAGCTTCAGAAATAAAGAGGTGTTACTGGAACGTGGGCAGCACCGGGACGACCTCCCCGGGTGCCCCTC